TCACACTCACAGGGTAGGAAGTTGTGTTTCATCTCCTTTAGCGGGGAGCATCTACACAAATTATTTGGAATTATTCTCCATGAAAGACTTGTCTCTCCCCCTCCTTCTTTATTTTTCTTTTAAGAGACAGGCTAGAGGGAAGTGATGAGATCATAGCTCATTATAGTCTTGAACTACTGGGCTCAAGCCATCCTCCTGCCTCAGTCTCCCAAGCAGCTGGGAGTATAGGTGCATGCCACCATGCTCACCTATTTTTTAAAAATTGTTTTTGTAGAGATGTGTTTCCCAGGCTGGTCTCGAACTCCTGGCCTCCTGCAGTTCTCTTACCTTGACCTCCCAAAGTGCTGGGATTATAAACTTGAGCCGCTGTGTCTGGCCCCCATTGATTTTTTTATTCAATAATTTCTTTATTTTGGGATGGACTCATGGATATTTATTTTATACTTTGGGTTATAACATAAAGCTACTTTATCATCTTTTTGCTTAAATTGTTACAGCTTTGGTCATTGGTTCCCGTGTTTCTCTGACATATACACACAGTTTTGCTTTTTGAGTACTTCCTTACTTTCTGGCACTACAAGATGCTTTAGACTTATCTTGTATATTTCCTGTCCCAACCCTAGAATCAGCCATTTATCCAGGGAGACTTGGTTCTTTCTTATTGGAGAATGATATTAGCAACCAAAATCTAGGTACTCTATGTGCTTGCTGCTGCTGGAGTGTCATTGCCTCTAGGTTCTCACAGCACACAGAGTCAGGTTATTTTACATATATATATTATTTTTAATAATGTAAAATAATATTTGTGTGTCATGCTGCTGTCTCTGATTCTAATACCATTCTAGTACCATTTGTTCATTTGAGTTATGCAACAGTCTTTTTAAAAACTGTATTGGTTATCAAAAATCTAACACCAACAAAAAGTTAACTCAAGACCCAGCTTGTTTTACAGGCAAGTCTTACAAGCATGTAAGGAATAGTACCAAAGTTATCAAAAGAAAAAAGGAAAAATATAAATAGACACAATTGTAAATGTGCATTTGAAAGACATCAACAAAAGATCTAAAAAATGGGAGGAGATGCCATGTTCCTTAGATAGAGAGTCCATATCTAAAGATATCAATTCTCTCCAAAAATAATCTACACATTTAGTACAATTCCAAATGGAATTCCTGAAGGGTTTGCAATGAAACTTGACAAGCTGAATCTAAAACTTGTATGGAAGGTCCAATAATAATAATAATAACCAAGACAATTCTTAAAAAGAGCAGGAAGAAGTTTTGCCCTATTATAAATTAATTAAAGCAGCTGAGTCTTCATGCAGGAATAGACAAATAGACAAATAGAATATGGAGCCCAGAAACAGATACACACACACTTGGAAATTTGTTATAAGATACAAGTGGCAGTATAGAACACAGCAGAAAAGATGACTATTAAATGGTGCTTGGGAAAACATAAAATCAATCCAGATCCTATATTTTAAAAGCAAAAGATTAAAACTCTTAGAATGAAATATATGATATTTACAGGCTGGGTTTAGTGGCTCAGCCTGTAATCCCAGTACTTTGGGAGGCTGATGTGAGTGGATTGCCTGAGTCCGTGGGTTCGAGACCAACCCCAGCAACTTGGTGAGACCTCGGCTCCACAATTAAAAAAAAAAAATTAGCCAGGCGTGGTAGCACATACCTATAGTTCCGGCTACGCAGAAGGCTGAGGTGGAAGGATCGCCAGAGCCCAGTTGGTTGACACTGGGGTAGTCGTGAGTGTGCCATTCCACTCCAGCCTGAGGACAGAGTGAGACCCTGACTGAAAAGAATAATAATAAAATAAGTAAATAGAAAAATGGGCAGAGTACATAATCAGGCATATCAGAATAGATAAGAAACACACAAAAAATATGCTCCATCTCACTAGTATTCAGGGAAGGGGAAATTAAACCTATAGTGATATCCTCTCAAACACATCAGACTTGCAAAAATTCAAAAGTCTTACAAGATTTCTGATTTTAAAATGGTGGAGTGAATTCAGCATTTTCCCTTCTCTTGGACTTTATCCAAATGCAACAGGAGAAAATAACAGAAGCACAAACTCTACCTTTGATGAAACGAAAAAAAATTTTTTTGAATCCCAATCCACAAATAAGCTGAACTGCCAAAGCAATGAAGAGTAAACAGAGTTATGAATGGAAGAGGATCAAGGATGCTGTGACTTCTGAGCTCAGAGAAAACTTCAGGGTGTACACACCAAAGGGAGGAACACACCCTGAATTGCAAAGCCAAAATAATGAATGGGGTGTGTAGGCTTGTGGCAGGGACCTCCCTGGAATTGGTTTAGTTATAGGAGGCAGGTTACAGTTAAAGCAGGCAGGGCTGATCAATGAATCCCAGACAGGAGCCCCTTTAATGAGAAGCTGAACATTCCAACAGCTGCCTATCTCCTTTGACTGAGTAACGATCAAGCTAAAGGAACTCATGTACATTGCCCTGAAGGGATAATTCCTGCTGGGGCACAAGTAGCCCATATCTCTTCCTGAGACTCACTTTCTGTAAATAGCTGGTGTCTATATTAGTCAGGTTCTTCAGATAAACAAAACCATTAGAATGTGTATATAGAGAGGAGATGTATTATAAGGAATAGTTCATATCATTATGGAGGCCGACAAGTCCAAAATCTGCAGTGTGGGCCAGCAGACTGGAGACACAGGAGAGCTAATGGTGCAGATGAGGTCTGAAGGCAGTCTGTTGCAGAATTCCCTCTTGCTTGGGGAGGTTGGTCTTTTTGTTCTATTCAGGCCTTCAACGGATTGGATGAGGCCCCTACCTTCTAGAGGGCAATCTGTTTTACTCACAGTTCACCAGTTTAAATCTTAACTTCATCTGAAAACACCCTCCGAGTTGACACATAAAATTACCCATCACAGTGTCTTAGGATTGGGTTCTTCGAAGCAGAGCCTGAGGCAGGATCTGGCAGGACCGGGTGCACTTATTTTATAGAGGGAATCCTCTCCCAGGAGACAGGAGTGAGGAAAGCTGGGTAGGAAAAGTAGCTAAATAAACACGTGATCTCAGCTACAGTCTAGCTTCAGCCTCATCACATGGGGGCCTCTGAAGCACAAATTGCACCAGAGTTGGTCCTACTTTGGCCTTCTGAGTCCCTCTGTCTGTCCGGTATTGACTGCTGACTGCCTCAGAGTTGGGGGTATGAGTGAGGACATAACTTCTCAGGTGTGATGGTGAATTCCACGTGCTGATTTGGTGAGGCTATGGTGCTCAACTGTTTGGTCAAACACTCGTCTGGATATTGCTATCAAGGTATTTTGGGGTGTAACTAATTTACAATTCCCCAATAATGTGGGTGGGCCTCATTCAAGCAGTTGAAGGCCTTAAGAGCAAAAACAGAGGTTTCCTGAAGAAGGAATTGTGCCTGAAGACTATAGCATGAACCCTTGCCTGAGTTTCCAGGCTTCCAGTTTGCCCTACACATTTCAGACTGGTCAGAGCCTACAATTACATGAGCTAATTAGTTTCTTTCTTCTTCTTCTTCTTCTTCTTCTTCTTCTTCTTCTTCTTCTTCTTCTTCTTCTTCTTCTTCTTCTTCTTCTTCTTCTTCTTCTTCTTCTTCTTCTTCTTCTTCTTCTTCTTCTTCTTCTTCTTCTTCTTCTTCTCCTTCTTCTTCTTCTCCTCCTCCTCCGCTATGAGCTAATTAGTTTCTTTCTTTTCTTCTTCTTCTTCTTCTCTCTCTCTTTCTGTCTGTCTCTCTCCCTCCCTCCCTCTCTCTCTCTCCCCCCTCCCTGTTTCTCTCTCTGTATCCTATTGATTTTGTTTCTCTGAAGAAGCCTAACTGATACACCAGGTATGGGGGCTCTCATTCAGCCAAGGGCAAACGAAGGAGTTAGCTGTGCGTCATTAGCAATCGGCCCTCTCTACCGAAGGATGAGCTTGGTAAAGGAAATCTGTGTGGGGTATCAACAGCATGCACTATGGTTCACCTCTTGAACCACTCAGATCCACTGATCTCCCCATTAAATAGACTCAGTCCAGGCACACCATTTCCAGGATGCTGGCTGGTCACAATTTGTGAGAACGCTTAACAAGAGAAGAGTTAGTGGAATAAACTACAGCCGGCACTGCTACAATTGGCCCCAGATCTGTTGCTGATATTCATCATCTAAGTTCTCCTCACCCTCTGCTACCACATCTGATGATCTGTGTGGCTCTCAGGGTGGGGTGTTCCAGAGCCTCAGCTCAGAGAGGTCTAAAGCTCTGGTTACCAGGGCTAAACAGAAAATCACAGTACAGCAGTCTTGGTCCACTCCCAGAGGAAGTTTAATATACAGGGAAGTGTAATATGCTGAATTATGAACTATGATAAAAGAGTAACTATAAGATATAAAGACTTCATATGGTCTCTAGGGCTAAGGAAGAATAACCAAGGGAGCACAATCTTGGAAAGGGCTCCGACCCCATTGGGGAAGGTGGGTTCAGCCCACTGGATAGCGGAGCAGTTTGCTGGTTTGGCCAGGTCACAGCTGGCCTGGACTTCCTGGACAAGCAACAGGCCATGCTCCGGAGTTTAGCTGGGAGCGGCAATCAGCAACTGGCTCGTGAGGTCTGAGCACCAGCGACCCTGGAGAGCAGTGGGGGTTAGAGTCAGCTCTGATTGCCCTTGAGTGACCTGTGGAAAGGTTAATGCCACTCTCAGGTTGCAAAGTCATAGAGGGATCTCGTCTGGGCCCGTGGCTGGGGCAGGCTCCACCAGATGCTTTCCCCCCATGCCCAACCCCAACCCCCAGAAATGTCAGAAGAGTCCCTCCCTCCTGTAGCTCCCTCCACTGCCCTTACTGAGGAACTTGACATCATGCTATTGTAAAGGAAAGAGACTCAAAGGAATTCTGTTGTTCCTCACAGGCCACAAATACAGAAGGAGCAGTTGGAGCTGAGGGGCAGTGAGTTGATCGTGGACAGAGCAACTGTGACTTTCCGGGTTCCACAGCTCTCTCCTCGACACTGTCAACGTCTTAGTCTCAAGCCAACTTTCTGAGCTGTCTTTCAACTTTCCTCTGTCTGGTGAGTCACATATTTCCATATTTCCATCCCCCTAAAGAGACTTGCCTCCGAACTCCCACCATCACTATCCTTGAGCTCTCTTCCTCACTTTCCCTCTCCAGGATGTCCCTGGTAAGGGCGTTCTTGCCTCCATTAGCGTTAGCTCCTCCACTCCTTCACTGTCCATCTTCGCCACACGCATGCCCATCTGCAGTCAAGAATGTACATGAGTTGTGACTTGCCATTCTCGTTGAATCCAGACTCTTCTACCAGACTTGCAAGGCTCCAATATCTGTCCCTCACAGCCAGGCAACCTCCTCTCCTCACGTCCCCTTGAGGCCGACCCCCTTCCCCACCTTCACTGCTGCTCTGTCCTCACCCTGATGGCCTTTTCTCCTCTCTGACTCCTATTTGTGACCAAATGAGATTTCTTCTTTCACGAAGTGTCCTTCTTATGCAGGACATGCTACCCCTTCCTTCTCTGTCTCCCCCTCAGCCACTCATTCTGTTCTGAGCACTGTTTTCCCACAAAAACTGTTGAACTTCTTGACTATTCCAAAGGCTAAGCCCTGCCACCCCATCCCTGGATCTTGGCCATGGGGGTAGCCCTGAGGACTGACACCCTTTCGAAGGGGAAGGGCTGCTCAGGTGCACTGCAGATTAGGCAGAATAGGTCGAGTGACAGGCCAGTCCTGTACTGGTGACTAACAACCTGTTGGACCTCCCTGCTCCAGGCCCGAGCTTGAGCTCTGCTGACTGGCTCTAGGCTCGGCCCTGGAAGTGTCCGCAGGCTGCAGGAAGTACATTGTGCAATCCATACCTGATGGTTTCAGAGTCACTGGCCTCACCCAGATTAGGGTGTGGCTGATGGGGCCCTCAGCAGTCAGTCAGGTCAGGATGAGACACACACACGCACCCCAAGTAGTGTCCCTGAAAGTTCCCCAAATGCAAAGTCTTTTTTGTTGTTGTTTGTTGTTGTATAACTTGGGCCCCTTCTAACTTTCTGCACATCCACACCCAAAACACAGGACACGCTAAAATGTAAGTGCTCAAAGACATAGAGTGATATGGTGGTTAATTGAATGGATGTAAGAACTTTTTTTTTTTTTGAGTTGGAGTCTCACTCCGTCACCCAGACTGGAGTGCAGTGGTCGCTCCCGGCCACCGCAGCCTCGACCTGCTGGGTTCCAGTGATCCTTACGCCTCAGCCTTCCAGTAGCTGGAACTACAGGCGTGTGCCACTATGCCCGGCTAAGTTTTTGATTTATTGTAGAGATGAGGTCTTGCCAAGTTGCCCAGGCGGGTCTCGAACCTGCGGGTTCAGGCAATCCACTCACCTCAGCCTCCCAAAGTGCAGGATTACAGGCTGAGCCACTGAGCCCAGCTAGTGTAAGAATTTTTAAAAGCCCTGGTTCAAGACATGACTTTATTACTTTTGACTTTAGTGTTCCTGGCTAAATAACAATTATCTGAGCCTCGGTCTCTATATTTATAAAATATTTATGAAATGTGAATAATAGCATTACCTCCTTCCGAGATTTGTGAGGATAAAGAAAAATATATATGTAAAATGTTTGGCACAAAATATTTGATAGAGGATATATAAGAATATTATTAAAAACAGAGTTTGTGATAAAATAGGGGACACAGACAGAAAGCCCAAAACAAATGCAGAAGAGATAGAAAGAAATGGGAAGCATTGAAGACGCTGTGGCAACCATGGCAATGTTTAGACCTCCTTCAAGAGAACCTACCATGGGGGCATAGATGACTGGCTACCCCAGCGGCCACCCTCTGGGACCACCACTGCGTTCATGCCAAGGCCACGCTTTCTCAGAACTATTCCCAACCAATGACAGAACACGGTGGGCTACCAGTGCCCGCCCATTCCTGCGGGATATGGGACTCCTTGAAGGGGCACCTTTGGCTCCAGGACTCCCCATCAGCCAGGCTGGAATTTTCTTAGAACTGCAGAGTTGGAAGCCCTTCCTTCCTGAAGCCCCTTCCTTCTCTCTCCTTTCACATGTGTCCAGGTGACACTACAATCTCAAGGCTGGCCCATCGATCCCACTCTCTTCCCTTTCTCTTTCACAGGCACTTCTCTCAATAAATCTCTTGCACAAGTAGTCCCATCTGGCCTCTTTAGAGCGTCTGTACTAACACAGGCCCCATCCCTATCGCTAGGCTTCCTTAGAGGGAGAGTCCTGAGAGGATCTGTCTCAAATCCCCGTTGTATGCCCCCTGGGCAAGGGCAGCCAAAATTGCCTGTTGACATAAACTTCTTTGATTATGGACCTTAAATGGGAACCAGGAAGCGAGTGTCAGGACATGCTATGATGCCTCATGTCCTATATTCCACTCTGTGCCCAAAGTCACTTCTCGAGCCAAGCAAACCCCGTCTCTTCCTGCCTCCACTCCCTAGTCTGACACCTCTGGCCTGCACTTCAAGTTTATTCTGCTCAAGCATAAAATTAATGTGAATTTTTTTGTTTGCTGGGATCAGTATTCTGCACAGGCCTGAGGAACTCATAGATAGAAGGGAGAGCGTTAGGTAGGATGTGGCTGCCGGGGCTGTGAGACCAGCTGCAGAAGAGGCCCAGGCCTGGAAGAGCCAGGAAGCTCCAGCCCAGGGAGGGGTTGTGGCTGTGCCCATCTGCAGATTGGGTTAAACTCTCAGCCCTTGAAGGGACCAAATGTGGGTCTCAGGATATCGGGGGCTCTGGGCCAGATATAGATCTCTGGAGGCCTCCCTCTGTCCCTAATTCCAGGGCCCAGTGTATGGCGGAGTTTCCTCAGGTCTACAGAGCGGCACTGTGGTCACAGCAGTGCAAGAAGTGGTCAAAGTATTTCACCTTGGACATCATGTAGTACAAAGAATAGGGTGAGGAATAGGCAAAGAGGTTTGATTGGCTTCCCTGGACACCTGATTCGGTGGGGGAGAGTAAGGAGTTAGGAATAGGTCACAGAAGACCACATTTATCTGGTAAGATGAAGTCTCAAGGTTGTGTCTAAGCTGATCTTCATGTTTGGAAATGGAGACACCTGGGGACTGGTCCCCACCTGAGAATCCAAAGAGGCCGTTGCTGTTTGTCTCCTTTTCCCAGGAATAATAAGAACGATCATCAATTCTGTGGTCCATCATAGTCAACCACAGTCACCAACCCTAAGCCCTCTTGCCCATCCCTTGCTTCAATATATTCACCTGGCAACACCCAGTCCTGTGAAATTCAACTCAGACCACTTGGCACTGGCATCCAGCTGAATGTGGTGGAGACTGGTGACTGTAAATCTATGGCCACAATACTCAAGTGGGTCCTTGTGCTGTACAGCAGGCCTGATCCAGGTGCCTGACCCATCCCCACTCCCGCTTTCTTAAATGACTCAGTCATACTTTCTCTCTTATCCATGAGCCCCTATAGGAACAAACTCTCAGCTGATGACTTCGGTTCCTATTTCACTGAGAAATAGAAGCAATTAGAAAAGAACTTTGCCCAACTCCCACCCCCCAATCATCTGTATCCAGCTGTGTCTGTGACCTTCTCTCCCAGAGCTGTGGGGAAATCGCCCATCCCTGTCTGAGACCAAACCATTCACCTCTCCACTAGGTCCTCACCTCTCTCCCCTACTGAAGAACATTGGTCCAGGAATGTTGCATTCTCTACCCAACATCATTAGCTTTTCTTCTTCTATTGGATCATACCCATCGATAAATAACATGCAGTCATTCTCAAAACAAAAAACTTCTTCTTGCTCCACACATATCCCATCCTGTAAGCTAGTTCCCCATTTTTGTTTTTCTTTAGCTAAGGCTCCTCAAAAGATGTCTCTATATTGTCACTAATTTCTCTCCTCCCACTCTGTCTTGAACCAATCTGGCTTCTCTCCTTCCACTTTACTAAGCTGCTCTTGTCAAGGTCCCCAGTGAGCCCACATTGCTAAATTTAGGGATTAAGTCTCAGTCTTCACCTTATCAACACTTCGGCCGCACACGATTTGGCTGAAGATGCTCTCCTCTTGAAACACTTTCTTCCCCTGGCTTCGTGGACCCTATTCCCACCTGGTATTTCTTCTCCCTCTCCAGCTGCTCCATCTCAGTCACCGTTGATGCTTCTTCCTCATCTTCTTGACCCCTCAAGGTTTGAGTGTCCCATGACTCACTTCTTAGACTTCTTTTTTTTCTCTGTCTATACTCACTACCCTAATGATCTCTTCCAGTCTCATGGCTTTAAATACCATTTATACACTGGCTATCTCTAACCCAGATTTTCTCAACTCCAGATTCATAGAGTTGTGTAATGTTGTACACTTCCTTATCCTGGGGACCCAATTTCTCTTTCAATCAGGGGACTCCACATCTAGAAACTGGAATGTATACATAAAATAACATATTCCTATATATGTTAATTATATATAATATGTTAAATATTCATATGTAATTAGTAACATGTATTCATTATATATAACATCTAGGATAATTATACCTTCTTTTTCTTTCTTGAATTTTAAGAGTTCTTTAGATAATAGAAAGTCTAAACATTTTTCTGTGAAACAGATTGCAAAATCACTGTTTGTTATTTGTTTTTCAACTTTGTTGATGTTGTTTTTATCAAATTACACTTGTTCATTGCTAGGATATAGGAAAGTGATTGATTTCTGCATACTAACCTTGTATTCTGCAACCTCGCCATACTCACTTGTTCACTTGGAGGTTTTCTAGTACATAGTATGGAGTATGTGAATCCAATTTTATCTTTTACCAGATAACTATCTGATTGTCACAATAGCCTTACTTAAAAGTCCATCTTTTCTCCAGTGACCTGAGATATCACCTCTATTTTGTACTAAATTTTCTTATATATTTCCATCTGTTTTTATACTTTGTATTCTGTTACATTGGTTTATCTATGTGTCACTAGCATATAATTTTAATTATAAAGATTTTTTTCATGTTTTAACATTTGTTAAGGCTAATCCCCAGCTCCCCACTCACACATTATTGCTTTTTTTCACATTTCCCCAGC